GAATATCTTTCAATAAGCGAAACAAGCTTACATTCGCACACCCCGAATCTCACCGGACACGAATCCATGAGAGTGCCTGCCTATACTGGACATCATCTGCAGGAAGTGCCAAGCTGCACTATGCTGGTTTGACTGCATTATAATTGGATGCATGAATTGGGTCCTTGGGTACTAAGGCACTAAGCTGGGCATCAACTTAGTGGCAATATGGAAATGGACATAATTTTTCTGGTGGCTAATGCTATATGATTTATTGCGGTCGTGGCCCATTGCAATGAGAGTTTTATCGTCGAGTCTAGTCGTGAAAGAACAAAGTCACCTTGACCGGCATGACTTTGGTATACTTTTGCTCCTTCCCTTTAGTACCCATAGAATTGCCGCCCTTTGAAGTCTGTACATAATACCAGTCTGAAGTGCATTCAAGGAATGACAACCAGAGAAAATTACATGTATGAAGATGATGTTGTGACTATACCATGTATAGAAAACTTACCTATGTGTATCCGACCACTGTGTAAATTATACAGTAATATAAATGATTCTTCAATACACATCAAAAGATGCACGTAAAATAAGCACTGAAACATCTTTATTGATACTTATTAAGTAGATTCTACAATATCCATTGTGAGACAATGTTACCTGTATGAAATCCTAAATGAAGATCTATATAGAGGAAAATCAGTAAAGCATCATATAAATATATATATGGACACTAAAACAATATTGAAAATTTACCTAGAAATAACTGGGCACAGCGGAAATTATACAGCATTATTGAATGAGATTTCTTTATTATGCACCTGACTTGCACATATTAATACAGTCACAGCAATTTGAGGTGATGCAATCGCAACCCATTCAGGTATATACCAACGTTACCCAAGTGTGAAAAGACAGCATAGTGATAACACTAAAAAATTAGTAATTTTGTCATCAATGATAGATAGATCAGAAATGTAAATTTATTGATGGAGTATACATCCCTTCAAAGACAAATCTCCTCCAACCTGTAGTAAGGTAGAGATCTTCCAAACTGCTTGCATGGATTTTGTAGGGCTTCTGTCTGTAGAGAGCATCTTGCTTAGCACAAAGAGAAGTAGCAACTGATGATTCTACACGAATTGGCACCAATCCCGGTATCAAGGGAAGATTACTCTAAAGGTGTTCATGATGAGCAGATAACCTTTAGCTTTTTTATCAAAACATTTTATTCTAGGAGAGTTAGATTTGTAAGGTACTACACGTTTTCCAAAAGTATTATGATCGGGTATCATAGTTGAAGAATAAACTTTTTTCCAATCACTTGCAGTAATAAAGAAAAAAATTTACAAAACTTGAAAAATTTCAAAAAAATTTCCATTACTGACATAAATAGTTTTCTTTCTCAAATTTCTTTTAAAAAAAAGATAAAATTTTGAATGAATCAGTGTAAACAAATGATGCACAGCAATTTTTTGTGAATATCTTAAGCAGATGGTAAAACTTCTAATTTTCAACTAGCCTAACTCTAATATTCATATGGTAAACTAATTTTGTTTCAAGCTTTATCAATAAATGAGTACTATCTATATTTAAAAGAAAGCTCCAACTACTTCTATTGACATTTTGTTAAATGGCAAATTCTTTAGTACGATATTCAATACAATTTCTTTAAGCCTCTATTATTGAAACAATAGTTTTCTAGTTTGTAATTCTACTTTTAAATTTGAATTACATGATGAATACAAGATTCAAATTCAGTAAAGATGTGCTTATGCTCATGCAGCTAAAATTATATTACCTTATATCATATTAACAAATCAAAAAGATCAATTTGCTTGGGTTCCAACTATTGTGCAGTAAATTTCACCTGCTCTCTCTCTCTCTCTCTCTCTCTCTCTCTCTCTCTCTCTCTCTCTCTATATATATATATATATATATATATATATATATATATATATATATATATATATATATATATATATATATATATATATATATATATATAGATGCAATAAACTGACGACTAACAGTACGAAACTAGTAACTAACTAGCCTAAGCGCTTTCGACTCTTAATGAGTCTTTTTCAAAAGCAAATACAAAACATATATACGACAAACAAACACAAAAACGTTGTGTTTGTAAACCTCTACATGGCTGTCTTCACATGTGCTCAAACTATAAATACAGCCAGCTTGTATAGACTAGTTGCAGAAACTGAAAACGTACAATTCCCTAAAAGTCTACAAGCCAAAGCGACATCTATTTTTACTTTTTGTACATATGTAACGCAGATTATATCCCGGATATTTGAATCTATACCGGTTATTCTTATAGTAAAAATTGAAGGATAATAAGAAGATTTAGAAAATGTTAAATTCTACTAGTGCATAGTTTTCATTTTCTAGTCTTCTTGGTTTAGACCGCTTGGTTTCAATGTTCTAAGGCGGCGTATCCAGTATGATTCCTTTTCCTTCCTGGTTTCGGAACTCCAGCTGTGGTTGTTAGCAATAGCGATAAGTATTATATCACTGAAAGTGTGGCCAGGGGAGGAGAAGTGTTCTGCGACCGGACTTCTGTACAGCTTTTTTGTCATCCAATCAGATCTATGAAGGTTTATCCTTTTGTGTAGCTTTTCAGTTTCTCCGACGTACTGAAGGCCACAGATCTTACATGTGATGAGATAAATCACATTCTCTGTTTTGCACGTTTTGTTTGGACCATATATGTTTAGTTTTTCTTTAGTCACTGTGCTAGTGAATGTCTTGGTCTCTATCATATGTTGACAGGTTTTGCATCTTTTATCGCCACAGGGTCCAGATTGACTAGGTTGGTTTTGACTAGCGATTGGCGTTAGCTTTGCCCTGACTAGGATGTCCTTTAGGTTTTTTGGTCTCCGGTAAGCTACTACAGGTTTGTTCGGAAATATTAGGTTTAGTTTGTCTTTCGATTGCACGGTTGGCCAGTGGCCTTCAGTACGTCGGAGAAACTGAAAAGCTACACAAAAGGATAAACCTTCATAGATCTGATTGGATGACAAAAAAGCTGTATAGAAGTCCGGTCGCAGAACACTTCTCCTCCTCTGGCCACACTTTCAGTGATATAATACTTATCGCTATTGCTAACAACCACAGCTGGAGTTCCGAAACCAGGAAGGAAAAGGAATCATACTGGATACGCCGCCTTAGAACATTGAAACCAAGCGGTCTAAACCAAGAAGACTAGAAAATGAAAACTATGCACTAGTAGAATTTAACATTTTCTAAATCTTCTTAATATCCTTTAATTTTTACTATAAGAATAACCGGTATAGAATCAAATATCCGGGATATAATCTGCGTTACATATGTACAAAAGTAAAAATAGATGTCGCTTTGGCTTGTAGACTTTTAGGGAATTATACAACGTTTGCAGTTTCTGCAACTAGTCTATACAAGCTGGTTGTATTTATAGTTGTAGCACATGTGAAGACAGCCATGTAGAGGTTTATAAACACAACGTTTTTGTGTTTATTTGTTTGCCGTATATATGTTTTGTATTTGCCTTTGAAAAAGACTCATTATGAGTCGAAAGCGCTTAGACTAGTTAGTTACTAGTTTCGTACTGTTAGTCGTCAGTTTATTGCATCTATTTTAATTAATCCCTGATACACGTGATCCATTGGTGGATCCAGTACGCTTGAAAGGGTTGTTATTCGCCATATGATTTGTATCCTTTATATATATATATATATATATATATATATATATATATATATATATATATATATATATATATATATATATAGTTCAAGTCAGATCAAACTGCGAAATGCACAGACCTATAATGTGCTGGCAGATCTGAATCTATGCAGTTTGTTAGGAATAATCACTGGAACAAAAAAATGAGACAAAATATATAAAAAACAGACCTCTCTCCAAGGGACTGAAGCTATGCTATAGAGCAATCCAAATAAGACCATTTTTATATTTTCACTGCGGAGTGTTTAAATCATATATTAGTCTGAAGTGCCAAGATTTTCAAACTGGATATCAGAACTGTACAATTATTCTTTAGGTCAAACAAGACATGGTTTGAATTCAGAAGTAATGATACCAAAATTTTCAAGATGGTCGTCATGGCAGCTGTACTGGATCTAAGACTGGTACTATTTTCATTTAGGACTGACTAGATATCAAAAGTCTTTTGGTGAAAACCCCATGACATAATAACTTTCAAGCTAGGAAGAGTAGCGATAAAATTTTCAAAATTGTTGACATGGTGACCATAATGAATGTCAGATTGGCACCATTTTCTTTGTTAACCCAACAGACATAATGATACAATTTTTGGTGACAACACTCCATGTTAATATATGGGATGTCAACGATGTATTTTTTTATTTAGGACACTTACAACTTTGTGGGGAATGTGTGTGTAGAGTTTCATTACAATCCTCCCAACAGTTCAGTAGTGATACTAATTTTATGCTAATTGATGATGGACAACTGACCATCTCACAAGCTCTTCTAGTATATGACTAGTAAGCTAAATATAGGAATTTCTTAAATTTTCAGGAAATGAATGTATCAACATCATTATTGAATGACACATGAAAAAGGGAAATAAGCACTTTTCACTTCTTGGTCCCACGCTTCCAAATAGGGAATTGCCCCATTATCCCAGACAATGCCTATGAGATACCCAGATGAAGCCAAGATATTCCTCAACAAGCTTAAAAAATTTGTCTTTATTGCCAATTCATAAATTTGAAATGTGCTGTGCTACTCTATCCAAGGCAGCAATGGCATCAAAATATCACAAATGTGTGTGTGTATGATTTGGATTTTTTATGCAGCTTTATAAAATTTTTAGTCATATTGCTACCATGTTTGCAGTGTGACAATATATAGTGATGTCTAACACTGGGGCATCATGCTGCAGACATGTATCATCATGTTCCAACCAGTCCTATCACTAACCTCTTAATGTTGAGTGCCTAGGGAGCTGTTAGTACTGTTTATATAAGTATTTGATATGACTTGGTCGTGGTTTGAACCCGCGACCTCCCACATCCAACCTGGATGCTCTAACCATTAGGCCACCAGAGTGGTCCTTATTACAAACATGTTACTATGCTAATGTAAATAAAGCAGCAATGTTAAACCCATCCTCAGAACATCTCAAACATGTCAGCTCTACTTATCTAAACAAGGCATCAAAATATTAAGTCCACCTTCAAAGCATCTCAAATATGTCAAAGCTTTAGCTAATTGGTATTAATGCATTGAATATAAAAGGAATCAACTTACAAAAAGAGAATGGAAAAAGAATTTAAAGTATATAATTAAACATTTAAACTTCAAAGTGTCAACTTTACCTGCTTGTGATATTGACCCTAAATATGCAGGAGAGAATGCTAGGAATGAATTGTCTTTGGCCTATTCTGTGAGATTGTAATTATGTACAACATATATGAAGATATTATGGAAATATACACAATTGGTCAACACACCTAAAATTCATATAATAGAATTTCACTGAAAAGTTTAAGTTGGGTGACAGTGACAAAAAATGAATTTTTGATGCTCTTGAAAAAAAGACATCTCATGTAGATAAATAATCCATTAAATGATTTAAAAATCAATAACTAAAATGTTGATAAAAAAGTCTTCTGTAGGCGATTCTTAACCTCAAGGTTACAGGGGTGTGATTGCCTGGAAGAAGTCCACTTCATAATCAGACAGCCTACATATGAATATAATCAACAGAACAATCTGCTTCCTAATGCGACAGTTCAGAACAATTAAGGAAATAAAACACTGCTGCATATAGAACAGTTAGCATTACTGCAGACAGTAAACTGACACTACAGTTTTTCAGAAAATCCACGTTCCCACAGTGGATCTTAATCTTTTTCATGATGTGCCCATCATGGACAGGCCATCGTGGTCATTATGAATTGCCCATTTTGTGGCTTGTAGTGGATAGATGTTATTGCCCCAGTTAAAAGTCACTGAAATATAATCATGTAATCGTGGACATCCACTACAGCTCATTTGAACTTGCCTTTTGGCTTTAGTGCATAGTGTAGTTTACTCTTTTTAAGTTGTACACTATAACATTCAATATTCAAAGACTAGACCATAATCAAATACATCCAGTGCATGAGATTTCCAGGCAAAGAATGCTGAGACAATTTAGGTGATTCACAAAATATACAAAGTTTAATTATCATAATTTTAATTAAAATACTTTAAGAGATGTTCTGCTAAACCAAAAAAATTAAATTACATGTCAAGTATTAGCAGATTTCATTTTGCCAGTCACTTTTAAATTGTTTGCTTAACATATTCCCACACAATAAAATATACACATTAAATATAAATATAAATATATATATCCATTATGCAACTACTACTAAGACAGCCCATTTAGTACTTGCAACCCAAATACACATCCATGTGACACATTTTCTCATAGGTCAATGTGACACAATTACTGCAGTAGCAGTTAGTTTCTCAAGTGAATACATGTACATCAAAATATCATTTGCAATTCAATGGAAATGCCTACTATTGGTGGCACTCTAGTTTTGTATATAGCATAGGGTTAGAATTTTAAATAAAAAGAATTTCCCTGGGTTTCCTCACTAGTTATACTGGCTATTTAAAAAAGACTTTGTATATCTTAGGTATTGTTCAAAGAAACTTTAATTCCATTTATTTTGGTGTATGACTGATGGGTGTAATATGGGTTAAAGTTGTTGTTGTTGTTGTGGGGCTTAACACCATTTTTCAGCACACGATTGAAACCAGGAAATCACCGGAAAGAACCACCGTCCACGATAAGTTACTGGCAAGCTTTCTCACATATCCACATTAGCCGAATCCTAGACTCGAATCCCATACAGATAGAGGTGAGGTGGCAGTGATCCATAACGAACAGCATTTTAGACCACTCAGGGCCCCTTTATATGGGTTTGAGAGAATACAGCTTGGCCTTACTACAGATGTGCACCTTTCAATAAAGTGCTAGCTCCACTTGCTCATTTCCACTTCCCCAAATTCAGAGATAAATTGTGAAAAAAAGAGCAGATAACTTTTTTTTACATTTAATGTATTTGGTAATTCATTCATTGCACTTTCAAAAGCTGGAACTGTCTAGTCTGGCAAAATTTATTTTCCTTTTTTTTATAGCAACCAAGGATAGTGTAATTTAGACAAATTCAGGTTGACTTTTGGAGCACAAGGGAGCAGTCATTTTAGTTAGCAGTGTGCTAAGATCATTTACAATTTCCAAAAGTACAATATCCATAGAAATGTCAGCCACATTACATGAAAATAGCATAGAGGTATGCCAAGATTCTCTCCACTGTGCATATTTTAAATGCAAACAACTTCACCTTACATATACCACTCTCTCAAAAGTACATAATAACTGGTGGGCGCCACCATTATGCAAACTTAGTTGTGAATTGGGTATCTAATATAGATACGATTGTATTTACAGTACAAGAGATATCATCCAGTTTTGTAAGTTTGCTTTCTTAACGCTTTATTTAAATTAAATTTCTTCTTGTTCATACATCTAACTTGTTTACCTTATAAGCAGAACACATGCCTTGTAAATTGCCCAGAGTGGTTAAATCACATGTTTACCAATGCTATAAATCTATCTCTAATTGCACTGATTGTTATTAAAGGTGGGGTCTTATTTTTCATGGCTTTATATAGGTATTCCTTGTAAAACTTCATTCACTCTGAACTGGAAGTGGAGGAGGTTTTGGCTTGAGATGTTGTAAATCCCTATTATATCCAATCTATTGTTAATGTTTCTTATTAGTTCTAAGGTCATCACAAATATTGCAGTAATGCTCACTCATTCAACTTTCAATTAAATTTTTTAAGTATCAAATTTAATAGGTTAATAATGAAATTTTTTAAATAAAGCTTGCTAAATATAACATGAATTATTAAAATATAAATATATAAAAATAAAATATCAATATAACATGAATTATTAAATGCTCATTTCTCCATTAATTTTACATTGTCAGAATCGTTCAATATTCCAAGATATTAAATGCCTTCATATTGTACTCCTCGCGCTTGATGCACGTGAGCGCGCAGTATGCTATGGAGTTAAAAGGTTGGTGGGCGGATTAAATTTACATTGTCAGAATTGTTCAATATTCCCATATATTAAACATGAGCGCGCAGTACGCTATGAAAAGGTTGGTAGGTGGAGCTATATGCACATGAATACTATTATTATGTATTGAAGAAATCTATGTGAACTTTATTATTTTAATAATAAAATAATAAATTTTATTATTAAATATATTTGATTGTGAATTTTATTATTAAGTCTTTGGTAAAGAAACAAAAATGAGCATATAATAAAAAAAGTCGTGCAGTATAGCCATCCAAAAATCTCGTTCATATTTTCTCATACAAATGCAGTAACCTATAACTACTATACCTTTTTAACCTAATTCAAGTAACGAGTATAAAGAGAATACAGCTAATCATTTTTGTTTCAAAATTTTGTCAGGAGATGAATTCCAAATTGAAGATATATGTAACATCTTAAAATAAATAATACTCTATAATTATCAATGCCTGATTCCAGGGTGACAATCAAAAGTTATGGTGCAGAATCTAACTCATGCTTGCATGTAATAAGCACATTTGGTTAAAAAAGTAACCTGTAGTGTGGGTTTACAGCTGACTATAGACTCATAATAGACGAGTTTATCTGAATCCTTACCATCACTTTGTGTATTTACTTTATGCATTACTAAGATGGGTATATGATTAGATTTGGATTTAAAAATTTACTCAATTTGATATTTTAGTAAAAAAATATTTAATTTTATACTAAAATTACGACCATGACAGCTTGTTACATTTAAATGCATGGTATCTAATCAGGAAAAAAGTTATGCAGGCTCTGCAAAGCACATAATACCGCATTCCATAATCAACAGTTTAATAAATATACTTTGGATTGCCGGTTTGGTCCTCTGATGAGTTTATATGTAATATTACCAAATTCACGATGGGAAGTGATGAAAATCCACTACCTTTTTAAATCAGGAAGTGCGAGTCTGGAAACCAGAGGACCCTCCCTCCACAATCTGGCCCTGATATTTAGTTTATCATATAACACAAAAGACTAGTTTTATGTGATAATGTGAGAATTTAACAACAAATTAGTTTCTCTCAGTCCAGATATTGTTTGTTTTTAACCAACATCTGCTTATTTTTAAGGTGTATGGTTTTGTGATATTTTCTTTCAATAGTTAATGTACATATTGAAACTTCAAAGTGTGACATTGATCAGTAACTGTACGTTTGCAAACTGTCCTGGCTAACTGGTGTTGACTAGAGTCAGGATGCTACAATAACAGGATTACTGGCTGATTACAGAGAAAGACACTCCTTAAGACAGTGCCTGGTGATGAATGTTGGTCTCATGAGAAAAATGTGAGAACAAAAACAACTCAGCATTCTTTATTGAAATTACCATGTTCATCACAGTTTACAGTAAATGTAAACTGTAGTGGAGCAATTTCTTGTGAAATTTAGAACATTTTTTTTTCTCTGTTATGCATGTTTGTTTTATGTAACCCTAATTATGCCACTGATAAATATAACAAGAAATGTTACTAGTATGGTGTTTGTACAGGTATGAAATTTACATCTGCCATGATTGGGTTTACACTGTCATGGTTTTTCCAGTTTGTTTAGTGTGTTGACTTCTGGAAAGAATACAACAGAATCAGCAAAAGGTGCCATAAATCTTACTACAGCTGCAATAAAATATGTGATAGTCTTCCACTAGATTGAGTTGATTTCCACTGGAATGGGTTGAAATCCACCAGACTGAGTGGACTCCACTATTCATAATAGGCAATTAATCTCCCACAATGCGTGTACTCTATGTCTCTCTTGTCCGCTTATGTGGGATCAACAATGTTAACTACTACAACACAAATAGATTCTTAGTCATGACACAAAGTTTTATTCATCATTGAAATAATAAAGTGAAAATCTGAACTAACAAGACTTTCTGCTACTAAATCTATTCACAAAGAATCTGTTGGACTT